TTCATGTTTCAAAGTTCTCTGGAGTCCCGCCAAGCACAACTCTGTCTTGCGCGGCACGCCTGCACCCCTTCGTGCTCTGCCTCTTACTCATCGCCCTATGACCTCCAAACCGATCCCACTCGTGGTGATCTCCTCCGTTTATAGGGGACGGGTCACTTTTGCGCCGTTGTTTTTTCTACCGCCTGTTTCACTGATGCTGGCGCTCACCTTCAAGCTTGTCCTAGCGAGGGTACCGAGGGACTCCTTGTGTAACCCATCGCTGGTGCTCTCATGCGATCTTTAGCCATTGTGTGATGGCCTGCCCGATTAGTTTTGAGGAAATGGTTCATCAAGCCACGATGGATGAGAGTGTTGACGAGATCGCCCCGGAGGTAACGTCATCAGTTCTTACCGGTGCATATCCCATGCCCCTTTCTCCCCCCCTTTCCCCCCCTTTTTTTCTTTTCCTCTTTTTCTTCGTCTTTTTTTTCTCTTCACTCCAGGGACGAATAAGGATGATATATATGCGTCTAATTACCCTCTGATGAGCTTTCGATTGTTGTGACGAAGCAAAAAGTACTTTAGGGATACGCCACCCTCCCTGCCAATCCCTAGCCTAGTATCATCCTATTTTGAGGTCTACGTACCCTTTCTGTGGTGATATGGTAATCTTACATCCACTCTAGTCCAATGTGCCCTTTTTCCTAATCCATGGTTTTACTCGCCCACTCTTTATGAGTTTGCTATAGTGTTTTACCATTGTTTCACTTCTTTACGATTTTTTTACTACTTCTTTACGTCCGTTCTGCTTCTGTTTTGCTTCTGCTTGTGTGTGATATGTGCATATCGAAGGCACTGATCAAGTCTCCTCCGGACGTGGGAATGTGAGGATGGACGAAGCACTTGGACAATCATGAAGTCCGATGTGTATCTGCTTCTTGCGACTAGTTTACCATCGCAATCTCAACGACTTTTTTTGAAGTGCGCCAGGGGATTTAGGGGATTGTACATACTGTCAATATTGGGATCATGGAGGCGCTATGCTTACCGAAAGAACGGGCCATTCTGTGGAGCCTTATGGGTAATTTGAAGTGGATGTGGTAGTTGGGTGTTGTACCATTCGGCTGTGGTAGGATAGACTGAATGTTTCGGCAGAAGTCTAAGCGAAAGTGGACATACAACGATATTAATTGAGATCGGTGGCGGCGAAAGTTTCTATTTGTTCTTTTTTTTTTTTTTTYTTTGAGTCGGAAAAAGCTGCTTGTATATAGAGATGGATGATAATTTCCTATATCCCTATTGGTGCGTTGATTTCTTTGCAAAGCATGATGATTGGTTACGAACCTTCAATAGGCAGCTTTGAAAATCTACATATAGAACTTATAGCCAATCGCTTTCGGGAAGGTAGCTCGTGTATCTCAGCGCTGCAACATTCCTCATCCATGGATGGAATGGTGATGAGGGATTAATTGTGTATTTTTCTCTTCTTAGACCCTATTTTAATTCTGATCGGAGTTATGCTGGGTGTGTATTTTTTAATACATGAAATTTTTCCATTGGGAACTATTCCGCTCGGGATAGCGTGGGCTTGATCGTGCTACCCCGCGTTCTGTAAATCTCTTGGCATCACGGGTTGCTACGTGTACTTCGATAATATGCCAAACTATGTGACCGTAATTCCATAATAAGGTGGTGATGAATTTCATTGAGGTTAACGTTTGGTTATCGTGTCTTCCAGACCTTGGATGTTCCCGTGTCTCTTTTCTCCTCTGAGTCTCCCGTCCTTGTCCTCTCTTCTCATCCTCTCTTCTCTCTCTTCCCCCTTCTTTCTTCTCTCTTCTTCTTTTCTCTTCTCGTTTGCTTTTTTTTTTTTTTTCTCCTTCTCTATCTCTCTCTTCCTCTCTCTGTGTATATGTCTCTCTCTCTCTCTCTCTCTCTCTCTCTCTCTCTCTTCATCCCTCTGTCCACTTGACCATCTTTGGTTTCTCTTCCAGGGTCTGAATTCTCCAGACACCCGGTCTCCCTCAATCTATGTTGCACGCCTGGCCTCGGCCGGGGGGTCCGACTCGGCCGCGGCCTAGGCCGATGACCGAATCGGCCCGGTTCGGCCTCGACCGACCTGTCGAGTTCGGTACATGGATTTTTCCCCCTATTTTTCACGTGTACAAAAAAAAAATAAAAAAATGGGCGTTTGGGGCTGGAAAAGCCCTAGACGCCCATATTTTTTTTTGGGGTATCAGACCTTCCGCTCGACGCGGAAAAAAAAAAAAAGCGAAAAAAAAAAAAAAAAAAAGGCCCGGCGGGCCGTTTTGGCCCTGTTTCGGTGCCACCGGGTGAGGGGCACCGTGTGGGCAGTGGGTCCAGGCCCAGGCCACGGCAAAACTGTTGTCGTTTTAGATAAATGTTGCCATTTATCTGAAACGGCAACAGTTATTGTTGTTGCCGTTATGCTACCGCAATCCCTGCTCGCACTCTGAGAGAGAGAGAGAGAGAGAGAAAGAGAAAGAGAGAGAGATCTTCTTCTTCTTCTTCTTCTTGCGCAGCTGAGAGAGAGAGAGAGAGAGAGAGAGAGAGAGAGAGAGAGAGAGAGAGAGAGAGAGAGAGAGAGAGAGAGAGAGAGAGAGAGAGAGAGAGAGAGAGAGAGAGAGAGAGAGAGAGAGATCTTCTTCTTCTTCTTCTTGTGCAGCTGAGAGAGAGAGATCTTCTTCTTCTTCTTCTTCTTCTTGTTGCGCAGCAGGCAGTGGCGCGCGCTGCGCCACCAGGCGGGACCACGCCGCCACGACAGCAAGCGGGCCGCCGACGGCCGTCGCCATCGCCGCGCGTGGCTTTTTTCAGCGCGCAGCCATTTTAGTGCTCAACCGCGGCCGGATGTAGCCGAACGCGGCCGAACAAGGCCAGGGCGGCCGATTCGGCTCTCGGCTGCGGGAGGGGCCGACCAACCGGTGTAGGCGGGGTGCCACGGGCGTGGACGGCAACGGTTCGAGGCGGCTGTGGTGGCAGCGGGGACTTCGGAGCCTGCGTCGACGGTGAGGCATGGTCAGACGACATCGGCGATCAACGCGACGACTTGTTGGACTCGGGTGGGAGGGGGGGTGGGCGATGACGGGGGGTGCAGGGACCAGCGCTGCGGGGGGGTCTGGGGGTGCACAGTTCAACCCGCTGTATGATAAGGAGATGGCGAAGCTGAGGCGGGGGAACATTGTTTGGAACTTCGTCACAGCGGGGCAGTACGTCGGGGACCAGTCCAAGATGCATGAGGACCGAAAGTTCCGTTGCAACTTATGCGGCCACCTGGTTCAAGGGGGGGTCGTCGAAGACCACGCGCCATTTCACGCAGGCGAAGTACTGCAAGGCTGGGGGGATGAGAGTTCTCGCGGAACTCTGGAACGGCACGGACTACACGTTCGTGTCGTCCACTGCTCAGCGGGTGCAGAGGTGGATGGCGGACGAGGGGATACGGAACACGAGAGCGCCCACGGGTGGCCAGCGACAACGGACGGACGACGGAAAGAGGGACGACATTCAGGACGCCCTCGATGAGGAGGAGGGCCGCGAGGGTGGGACGAGGGAGGGGGGGGTGGTAGACGAGGCAGACGAGGCAGTTTGAGAGCCTGATCTGCCAGGGGAGGAGGTGGCGATGACGTCGAGAGGCGTTGGTCGAGCGGGTCCCGCTCCTAGGGCGCCGCGACCTCAGTTGGACCGCGCGAGGAGGGAGAAGAGGACAGTGCGGGTGGTTGACGTCGAGGCGCGAGACACGGGCAGGGAGAAGAGGGCTCGACAGACGACGATTGACGAGATGTACGACATTGTACGCCAGGGAGAAGTTGGCCGAGTTCACAGACGCGTGGCTTCAGTGAGTCTACGCGAAGAAGTTGCCATTCAACGCCTTCCGTGGTCCGGAGTTCCAGAGGGTGCGGCAGGCGGCAGAGAGAGTGCCTCGCTCTATCCTGTTCCGGTTTCCCTCCTACAGGGTTACAGCGGGCGCCGGTATCCCTTCGCAGAGGGCGAAGGTGGCGACAATGGTGAGTGAGGTGCGCGCCACTTTCCGGCACAGCGGTGCCACCATCCTCTCCGACGGGAGGAAGTCGCGCAGCGGCAAGCCGCTCGTGAACTTCCTCGCCGGGGGCGCCAACGGCGCCCTGCTACACGCCACCATCGCACGTGACGGGTCGGTCCGAGACACAGCGGACATCGTGTACTGTAGGTGGTGGGCCGTCATCTTGTCCTTTCCTGAAAAGGATGTGATCGGCTTCTGCACAGACTCCACCAGTAACTATACGGCGGCAGCGCGCAGATTCGTCACTGACCCCGAGCCCGACATCAGGAGGATCACTTGGCTCCCCTGCTCCACCCATGTCTGCAACTTGATGTTGTCAGATATCGGGACGCGAGTGGTGTGGGTCAAGGACACCATCATCCGCGCTCGAGCGCTTATGCGATTTATTAAATCGCACGGCGCCAGTCACACCTTGTTTAGGAAGGTAAGCCCTCGCGTTCAGCTCGTCGAGCCCGTTGAGACACGGTTCGCATCGGTTTTCCTGATGTTGACGTGTCTCAAAGGCCGACGAGACGCGCTGGAGAGCATGTTGCACGGGGATGCTTGGGCACGCATCCCGTGGGAGCACAGGCATGTATCGCAGGCGCAGTGGGTGCAGCAGCAGATCCGGGACGAGGAGTTTTGGCATTGTGTGCAGTACGTCATCCTTGTTAAGTCGCCCGTCCACCAATTGTTGCGCAGGATGGATAGGGGGGGATGATGATGTCCGTGGTTTACGAGTGGAGTCAGCATGTGCTGGAGTTGATGAGGAGGGTCGACGTGCCGGCAGACATGATCGAGCCGTGCGTGAGTGAGGTTGCCATCCGCAACCTCCACATGCTAGAGCCGGCACATGCCCCGGCCCACCTCCTCAACCCTCGTCGACGGTCCCTCACGTATTACCATTCGTTAGAGACGACCGTCGTGTGGTCGAGGAGTGCGACAGATATCTCCTGGCGCAGACCGGCGGCGATTCGGTCGGCATACTTTACAGGACCATGAGGGACCAGATGAGGGCGTTCCACTCGAGGCGAGGGGATTGGGGAGGCGAGCTCTCCGATGCCGAGGCGGCCGATTGCATGGGGGACAGCGAGACCGAGCGATGTGCAACGTGGTGGTTTGAGCATGGACGTGCCGACCCAGGGTTGCGCACCATAGCCATCCGTGTCATGCACTTGTGGACGTCTGCCTCTCCAGCGGAGAGGAATTGGGCGGAGCACGAGCGCGTCAACATGGCGAGGCGCTGCAAGCTTGGGTTCGCCAAGCTTGCACAGCTGGTTGAGATTGCCACCAATCTCAAACTGGCCTCGTGCGCACGGCAGGGTGGTGGGTATGTATTGCCATGGGTTATGGGGACCGGTCGGGAGGGGACGACGGCAGTGGACGAGGATGAGGAGGGAGACGTGGAGCCCGAGGTGTGGGGAGCGCGACCTGCTGGCAGTGTTCCCGAGGAGGAGATCCAGCGGCAAATTGTCGCTTTCCATGACAGTCGACCGTTCAGAGCACGTTCGGTTCGGGACGTGTTCGGCAGCAGGGCGATGGAGCTGCGACCGTGGCCGGAGGGTGGGGATGATGTGGACGCTGCGGCGGCAGACGACGACATCGACGACGACTGGACAGACGATGATGACACGCCGCCGAGTGGCGACCCGACGGCTGAGCGAGTGTACTTCACTTACGGTGGGGGTCGTGATGGCATGGATTCATTCACATCACTTGTCATTGGTGATGTGCCGTCGACCGCACAGGCGAGTGACAGCAGCAGAGCCGGTGGTGGTTGTGGAGGACGTTCGCATGTGGAGGTTGGCGTCGACGACTCGGGGGAGCAGCAGCCACCGGGAGGTCTTCGGCAGACAGGCAGGCGTTGGGAGGTTAGGAGCGACAACGAGGCCGAGGAAGAGGCGAGGATGAGCGGGTGCCCCTTCACGATCGTCGCTTCTCTCCCTCCCATCATCGGAGCGTTGTACATCCCGAGGCACTTAGGCGTTTGGAGAGGTTGGTGTCGGCAGCTGGCAGAGACCGGACACATGACGGCGAGGATCGTGGGGGGTAGAGGACTCCTTCCGACGCCGGTATCCGCCCCCGCTCGCCGTCGGAGCTCCGCACACGCGACTTTGACGTCGGAGGGCTCGGTGGGGGCTTGGGAGATTTTAGTGTCGAGGGACGTCGACGTGCCTCACCGTCGAAGGTGCACACCGACGCGGACGTTGTGTGGGGCCCTGATGAGACTGAGGAGGAGAGGGATGCCTGTTTGGACCGAGGGGAGGAGGAGCGGCTGGGGAGTTTGCCACAGTGGGAGGGTTGGTTCGCGTATCTTGACGAGCAGCGTCGGCAGAGGGATTAGGAGACAGGAGGGGGGGGAGGCCGCGACGACGATGACTCTGGTGTCCCTGAGGAGGCAGTGCAGGGGGATTTCGTTGACGAGGGGCAGGATGCCGCCGCGGGTGGTGGGTCAGGTGGTGGATGACGCGGCGGCGGGGAGACCGCGTGTGATGAGGGGCAGGATGTTGTCATGGGCGTTGGGTCCCCTCGTGGGGGGCGTGGCGACGGCGAGACCACGGGTGATGAGGCCATTGAGGGGCAGGGTGCCGCCATGTGTGGCAGGGGAGAGGGTGGACCCGGTGGAGATGGGGATACCGCGGGTGTCGGGGGAGACGATGGACCGGATGGAGGTGATGACGACGACCACGGTCCCGAGGACAATGCGTACAGGCTCGCCTTGGTGTTGAGGGACCCCACAGTACCTCCCTTGCGCCCTGACGACTCGGCGTGCACTTTCTTCGACGCCGACGCTTTGGCGCAAGCGTTGACGGATGACCCTTCCGCACACATGAGCCGCAAGAGCGACAAGACGCGGGCCCCAAGGAGGGTATATTCACCGCCGCCGTTCGTGGTGCAGAGCCCTCACTGGTCGGGTTCGTCGCTCAGCGGTGTGAGAGGGAGGGAGTCCGGAGCGAGTGAGGTGGGGTCTGGCAGACGCAGCGATGGCGGCAGAGACAGTGCATGATCGATGCCTCCACCGCCCGCACGGACTCCGGAGGCCGGGGTCGACGCCGGGGACCAGACAGCGGCACCCGGAGTTGCGCACAGTGGCGGTTCCCCCCCGACTGTCCGAGGTGGTGTGGGTGGCGGATGGTCAGCTGTTCGTCGGGTCGGGGACCGGTTGTGAGCGGATTACAACGCCGGGAGGGGCGTCTTCACGGGACGCACGCCAGTTCAGACGCAGGCTGCGGAGGGTGGGTCCGGACGACCGAGCCTGCAGATGGCAGGTCGCATGCTCGGTTTGTCACGAGCGGAGACGAGGAGATCATTGGTCTTCGAAGCCGCAGGGACATCCACAGACATGTTGCGGGGACAGCAGTACACATCAGGCGAGGAGGGGTTGTTGATGCATCCCGGGACGAAACGACAGTGCGGCCCCTCGGAGGTTGAGGCTCGACTCGCGGCACAGGTCGCCGCTGCCCAGGCAATATTGGACGCGATTCAGAGGGAGAGAGAGATGGGGACTGCTGCACGGGCGGCGGAGGACGAGGACACAGACACAGAGTCCGAGCCGATCGAGACTGCGGCCCGCAGACATAGGGCACATGTGGCCGCGGCAGCCGCTGCTGCACAGGCGGCATACCTCAGCGAGGCACGGGGCACAGGTGCCGGAGGGAGAGGAGGGCGGCGGGGAGGACAGCATGGTCGTCCGTCCCCTAGGAGAGGACGCGCGCGCTTTGGAGGGAGATGATGACGTTCGTGGTTTTTTTTTTTTCTTTAGTTTTTTTTTTTTTTTTTGCGTGGCTGTACAGCCTGGCCGCTCTGTAGGCTGGGTTGTTGCATATTTATGTTGATGTTGTTCCATGGAGACGACGACAGTATGTGGACATCAGTTTTTTTTCTTTTCTTCTTTTTTTTGCTACTCGTTTGTGCAGTAGAGACGACGGGTCCAGTTTTTGGCTTCAGCCTTGTGCATAAGGTCCATTTTTTTTTGGTACTCGGTTGTACAGTACGGTGGGGGGAGGCCATGGAGACGACGGCAGTATGTGGACATTAGGTTTTTATTCTTTCTTTTTTCTTTTTTTTGCTACTCGTTTGTGCAGTAGAGACGACGGGTCCAGATTATGGCTTCACCCTTGTACATAGGGTCCAGTTTTGTTTTGCTACTCGGTTGTACAGTAGAGACGACGGGTACAGTTTTTGGCTTCAGCCTTGTACATACGCATTTCCATTGAAATGCTTTGTCATATTTTTGCTCTTGTTCGTGTTACTCTACCAACATTGGTCTTGCATCTAAGTCTCTGATTTTGGTGAGTGGTTTCTCGTTTGTTGTCTTGATTGTTGCAAATTATGTGATTCTCCATTATGAATGTGTTGTTAATTATGAATGCCTCCACGCACCTGCATGTCATGGATGCCTCCATTATGAATGTGCTGTTAATTTCGGATGCCAAAACACAGATGTTGTGGTAATGAATGTGTTCTTACAAAAACGTCCATCAGTCTGATGATTGAACACACACTATGACACACTTGCCTCAGTTGCCTGTTAACATTGTTTGAAACTTGTGGATGGCCGCACTGTGACTGATTGTGAATGTGTTGTGACTTTGGTATGCCAACCAGGGTCATACCTATGATTGCCATGAGGCCCTGATATGCTTGGGGTCTGCCATCTGCAGCCCCGTCCAGCTTCGACCCGCACATGCCGCAGGGGCCGCCCCAACCAGGCCCTCATCCAACCCCCGTTGGCCCGCCCCCGCAGGGGTCAAAAAAAAATTTCTATATTTTTCTAGTGTTCCAGACCCTTTTCCTTGCGACCGTGCATCGACGAACCTGCACGCGGGGGACGCACGAATTTTCGCGGCCCACCCTTCCAGAGCCATGTGCAGGACCCCCTCGTTTTTTATTTTTTTGACGCCCTTTCACTTCGAGGGGGTGTCCCCCCACCCCCCACCCCCTACCCCAAACCCGCTCCCCTCTTCGAAAACCGTTCCCCAGACTGGCCGAGAACTAGGCCGAAAAAATTCGTTCGGGCTGGCCACGGCCGGGGGGGTCCCGGCCTAGGCCTGGGCCGAAACCGGTCGCGGTCAGCGTGCAACATAGCCCTCAATGATCTGATCAATCGCATGAGTCAGTGAATGAATGGATGTATGATTCTTCGGATACTCGAGAACGGGTATTGTATATTGTTTTCACCAACTTATGCCAACAACGAATTACCCACGGGCATCAGGTTGAGTGTTTTCGGTTATCCCTTAAAAGTTTTCTGATGATTTGGAACATAGTCTCTATGTCGAATATGAAACATATGTGTGTATTTATACACACATACAGACATGCGCGTGCGTGTAGTAGTTGATAATTCAATGTTTTGGCGAAAAATTCATTCGATTTTGCTCATCCTATTGATGGCAGTAGCGTCTTATCTGTTCGCCTATACGTTGCTCATCCTATCGATGAAAATCTCTCTCTCTCTCTCTCTCTCTCTCTCTCTCTCTCACACACAC